CTCTGAAATCCCTTGCATGGAGACAAGGATTCTTAGCATTATCTAGTAAGATACTATACATGGCTTTTTATTCTACTAAAGATTATTGCCCATAAAGATGTAGAATAGCATATTACATTCTATTACAGAGAATACCTCACCTCCAATACCTACAAATTCATTTCCAAGGTGCATGTGCAAGCACTTCCACTGAAAAGAGTGAAGACCGTGGTGTCACCCCACACACACTGCATGCCCCATAACTGTATGTACCAGAATTCCATAGGTAAATCCCCCTTTTTTTTCCTGTGTGCATGCTGAGTTCGTATTCGAGTTGTGCATTCGTCTTATACATGCTAGGCATTTTGGAAGACATTTCCAACACTTCCGCTTTACCATTATGTCAGATCCTAGAACAAGGAAAAGAATGTTTAAGAAATCTAAATGTAGATAATGTGGTGGACCATTATCACCTTTCGACTTCGATATTCACTCCAGTTGTTATCAGTGTCGTCTGTGTTCCTCAAAAAATCTGTGTGGAATTTGTTCAAGCTGGTTGTCAAAATATGAAAGTGTTCTCTTCGTAGCAAGACGATCTTACATCACCCTACCAGACTTGCTCAGCTTCCATGGTTACTTCTGTGGTTTTTATTGCTGTGGCCATAATTCGGATGGAAATTCACAACTGTCCACAGTGAGTTCGACAGTTCTGTCGAGTTCATCTATGTTAAACACTTCCAGTGGAAATATGGAGAGCATGTCAGTGTTGTTGTCATACAGCTGCCCAATTCCAGCCATGCAGCCAGCTGGTGGGCTAGCTGAGTTTCCCCGCACATTTCTGGATGAGAGGGCTAGATCATGTGGGTTTTCAGTGACCATTTCATTACCCTTCTTCCTGTTCTTTTTCCCACGGGATCCTCATATGTACGAGTGCACAACCCAATCCACGGGTCCACATTTACCGCTCTCCCTTTCGTGGGAATGCCCCCATGCAGTTTCAGCGAGATCCACCTGGTATCGGAGCTCCGGTCTGCGGCCATTTTCCTCGCATGCAGGAGCGCGAAAGTCAAGCTCACTGCGATCATCTTCATAGCTCTCCTCAACATGCCTACCGTGCCCGCCAATCATCAGGGCTCAACAGGGGCTAAAGTGACCTTCCCCTCTACTGGGACTTTCAACTGATTTTTGTGGGATCTGTCACACTCTCGTTCCCATTTTCCAATTTGCTGACACTCTTGGTCTCTTCCATGCAGCTGCTCTAGGTCACCATATGATCATTATGCCTGTGAGGAGTCCTTTTGCTGATTCCTTTCAACTCTGAACAAGATTTTTTGGAGTCTGACAGAGCTTCTCTAGAAGTGAGTAGAATTTTACAATTACTTCCTCTCTCCGAAACACACTTCACGTTCTTCATTTTGTAGGGGCTCAGCCAAACCTGCTCGTCCTCTTAATTGTGTTGCTCCCAATGACGGGTTCTATTCTGAAGGCCACTTCTGAAGACATCGATCATAATTTTTCATTGACACCATTTCTTCTGAATTGAAAGACAAGTTTCGATCAGAAATCTCTTTCCAAATAGAATTTTCCCAGATAAGCATACAAACAATCTTTATACATCTCTTCAAACCGGGACAGACATGTGCGCCACAGTTTCAAATTATCCAACCTTTTACTTTTCCAATTTGCTTTCTGATGTCTTGGCTCGTGTCTCTGAAGACCCATCATTATATGACCCTGACCTTGTCCCAATCACATTGAAATTCCTGGATGACTGAAGGTGCATGCCTCCGTGAATTTTCAGTGGGCTCAGCCAGTGCTTCTTCCTTGTGCTGGAGCCTAATAATTGAAAACCTGTTCTGGCCTTCCATGGGATCCAGAGAGCCCATGGAAGACTTGCCCCTTCTAGGGAGTGACCTTTTTGATGGCAAGTTCGGTGAAGTCGTAAGACGGACGAGAAGTTTGATCTGCATTATCACGGGTCCAGTCTATGCTCAGCTAAATTTACCCGGATTCCCGGCAAAGGTTACAGAAGCAGCAGAAGTTCTTTGCATTCCCCTTACACCTCCCAGTTTCATCAATCCAGAGTCTCCTTCACAAGAGCTTGGCCAAAGTCCACTTACGGTCATCAGTCTGTCCCCTACACCAACACGGTGCCCTCTAAACCAAAGTGCTCCTTCAAATCCCAACAGGTCCATGTTCTAAAGGAGCAATGACTACTACCAGGTTCACTTACGACTAGCCTTGGGACCAGTCGGGGGGTCGACTTTTGGAATTTGCTCACAAATAGACACATATTACCACAGGCATCTGGGTTCTCCAAACAGTATCTCTGGTCTATCAGTTGGAATTCACCAGTGCTCTGCCTCAACTCCACAGGTTCCACATTGACCCACTCCAGTCCCTTCATTTTTACTCACCAGAGCTCCTTGGAGAAGGAGGAAAAGAGAGCCGTAATCCCTCTTCAGAACCCCACACTTGGATTCCCTTCTGTCTTCCTCCTCACTCCAAAGAAGTCTGGCAACTTGTGACCGATTATCAACCAGGCTCTGTCAAAGACTGTGCAGCTCACTGTGGACTTGGGTTTTATTATCAGTGCTGAAAACTCTTCCTTGATCCCTTCATAGAATCTGATGTTCCTTGGTGCATTCGGCAACATGAAAACTAGCAGGGCTTCTCCTTCATAGAGCGCTCATTTGCACTGGAGGAGTGCATCCATCTCTTCATGACGGCAGCATCCCTATCAACTTGAGCTTGGCCTTTGTCTTTTGGGCTTCATGGCTTGGTAGACATTGTGCCCTGGTGTCACATGTGTATGTGCCCACTCCACTATTCCCCCTGGAAGGATCTCATCACCACCTAAGTTCCAGTGAATTTCTTCATCCGATTCCATTTTAGATGGTGGCTCATGCCAGAAACTTTCCCTCAGCTCTTTACACTAACAATGGATGCTTCAGAGTCACGTTGAGGCACTCACTTGGACGACCTATCTCTCTGGGGATCAGACAGACAGTACAGATATCTCCTACTTAATGAATGGTATATTTGTGGAGCGACCGCCAAACAAAAAGCTTATTCCAAGTTTGAACCTTTGCACAGTTCTTCTCAAGCTGACCAAAGAACCGTTTGAACCAGCAGGATCTTCTTTACTTCATCACTTGACAGTGGAACAGGGTAATTCCAGAAAATGGGGGTCCATTTTTTTCTCGTGTCCCTGTCGCATCTGACATATGATTTTATAAGTTCAAAACACATTTTCTAGTTTCCTAGAGTAATGAATTAATGCAAAGTACCTGCCAAACAAATAATAATAGTTTGAATTTAATTCTGGTGATATTTCCATGTCAAATAACAAAGGTCAGATGTAACAGGGACATGAAAGTGTCACACTTTTGGACCCCTCATTTTTGGAATTACCCCACAACAATTTGTCCCCATCGCCCAGCTTCAGTGACAACTATTACAAGGTGGATTGTTGAAGCCATATTGCTTCTTACAACACCACCTCTACCAAAACAGCCAAGAGGGTATAGATGCAGCTTGCATCTCAGGCTCAAGTTCAAGCCCATCAGAGGAGGAGCATGGCTCTCTTTCAAGGTGTGGCTGTTTCGGATATTATGCAAGCAGCATGTTGGAAGAATCCATCAACCTTCACATCCTGCTATTTGCGGGACATCCTCCAAGCCGAAGGCTGTATGGGTATACAAGTCCTGCATCAACTGCACATACAACAACTAGGAGAACCTGGTGAACAGCTAGAACTTCCTCTTAGGCCCCAAGTCAAAATAGAAACGGTTCACCAAGCAGGCAATGATTGCCCTTAATCCCCTTTCATACCATTGCCTGATTCAAATGCAAGTGGGCAATGATTGCAAGAGAGCGTTTACCGAAAAGGAGTTGGCTATGCGGCAACCTCTTTGATGCATACCACCATTTCCCCCACCTTGGTACAAAAGCCTTGACTCCCAGCTTACCAGGAATGGTTATTGTGCGTCGGCTTTGTCGTGTAAATTGGGCAAGTTCATCCACAGGCCTAGCACAACTTATTTCTCTCTCTCTTAACAAAAGACTAACTCCATTAGAGTCTGCATCACTAAGTCTCTTGTCATTGCGTTAAGATCTGGAGTTTTCTGTCCCAAAATGTAGCACTGTCAGGCAGTGATTTCCACTTGATAGATTTGTCAAAGATTGGAATAGACAATAGATGAAATGGAGAAAATTATAGATGCAACAATCATGGGACTTCAAAATCAATCTAAAAAAGTAAAATAAGAAAAGTCGACTAATGTTGGTAGTTAACGGCAGTGTAACAGACTGAAGGAAATAAATATCCATATCCATGTAAACGGTTGTACAAACCCATCCCTTACCCACCCAAAAATTGTTGGCATATCAACGGGCTGGGGTCCCAGCTGTTGATAAACAGCTCTAATGACTCAACCACCAGCCACAATTGAGTGTAATCCTTAAAGCTCTCTATTGTTAGAAAACATCACCCAGGAGTGGTGTTCATGGAACCACAAGCAATTTAGCTAGTGACTCCCTATCTTGCCCGCTTTACTCTGAAGCGGGTAAGGAGCTTACCATTTATCTATCGTTTCCCATTTCATGAACCATTTCTATTTTAACATAGCGCCTTAAGGACTTCAAGTTTACAGCTCCCAGGTATGTGTTAACTATTTCACATGCTATCTCATGTTTTAGCCAGGCCTGGTGAAAACCTTTATCTTCTGGTTTCTACACTGCACATCTCCCCCCCCCTTTCTTTCAGGTCAATCTGGTGCTACTCTATATGTTTGTAGGTATTGAAGTTGAGGTATTTTCTGTAATAGATTCTCCCCAAATCTGTGGGGATTTTCTATTCTAATAAGAAAAACCTCCAATACCATCCCTGTCGTATAATCTTGTTTGTATCATGTAAAAAAGAGGGGGATGAGTAACCTAGGGAATGCTGGTGCATACAGTCATGGGTCATGCAGTGTGTGTGTGGTGACGTTATGGCCTTCGTTCTTTTCAGTGGAAGTGCTTGTACATTCACATTGGAAATACATTTGTAGGTATTGGGGATTCTTAGAATAGAAATTCATACAGATTTGGAGGATTACAAAGCATGAGTCATTTTGAAGTATTATATGATTTTTGTGTATTTTCTTTGACAGTACACGCCACCATTAATTCCCCCAAGAGGTGAGGTCAATGCAGCAGATGCCTTTGACATTGGTTCATTTGATGAAGATGATGTTAAAGGGATAAAGGTGAGAGAAAACATGTAACATTATCAAATAATACATAATGGATATATCTATCTCTGAGACTGTCCATGCAGCTAAGTTGCAATTCAGACAGTTCAGAAATCCTGTACATGTAATTACTTGTTCATAACAATTCTCAGTTGTTCATTGCACTTCAGATACAATACAGTGGTAGTTCTCTTCAGTCTGAAAAATCAAATGGGCTGGTGTTAATGTTGAATTTAACCTGCTGAGTTTACTATTGGTAACCCTGTCTGTACATTGATAAACTGCTTAAAGTCACATGAGTACCCTTGTTTGTTCTCGTATAAAACATCTTTACGTCATGAGCTGTTAACAAGGAACGGTGCCAGGAACTCGTGCAAGCAATCACCACATTTACACTGGATCCTGTAAGATGGATCAAAGGGGATCTGATACCACAAAGAGGATTGAAGGGAGATTGATGACAAGTCCAAATGCGAGGTGGATCAGGATCTGATCTGGGTCGGATCCCCCTTTCTTGATCCCCCTTTGTGAAGGATCAGATCCTGCAATTGAAGCGTGTGATTCCGCTTTGTGTGAGAGCAAACACAGTTACAGGATCAGACCCGGCAATTTGACCCAACCGCATCTGGTATGCACATCACAGTTGAGGTTGGGAGTCCCAAAAGTCCTTGAAAATTGTTCATTTGAGGGATGGTGTCGCTATACTGGTCCCCGCGGGGTCCAAAGCACAATATAAATGATTGGTACTTTGCAACAGAGCCAACTGCCCCATTCATGCGTTGTGGGTACTTAAAGTCCATGACCGTACCACACCATGTCGTACTTCCTCTTTCATACACACAGCAATGCCATCTCAACTATCTCAAACTTGTGGTTTCTTTATATTGCCGCTTTTATATAGTTAGGTTGGTCGGTGTGTTTCTTGTAAATTCTAATGTTTTTCCAAATCTAATTAAATCAAAACAGGCTCCGAAATGTCTGTCTTGGTCAGTGTTTGAAGTCATGAAATCTGACCAAGTTGTAGTGACACCAAAGTATTTCTCAGATAGGCAAGCCTTAGAGATAATGCAACGTTGAGTACATGTGTTAAATATTTGTGGATGTTTGGGCCCAACATATATGAGAATTAAAGCAAAAATAGATGTCAATCATCCCTAGATGTGCTGTGTTAATGGTGACAAACTTGCATCAAAATGGAAAGCAAAGCCAGTAGGCCTAAAGTGGAGGTTTGTGCATAGCAGGCAAAAATTATCACAAGTATGGCAATAGCACATACTCAGTGACCTTCCATGCGAAAGGAGGATTGAAGCATGATCGGGATCCAGTGTGAATGCAGCAGTATTTATTTGGGGTTTTATTACCCTGTAAAATGCGATGCCCAGCACACACGGTCTGCATGTACAGGTAACTTGTGACTAACTGATCCTAGATATTGTCTTGTGTAGAGATTGTTTGGAATATTCTAGTCAGCTATTCAGAACCTGATTAATGGGGCAAGCTATGTCACTATTCAGTAGTCATACATACAGGTACCATAGTGCAAAGTAGAAAGCTAAGATCGTGAGATTTTATAGTGTGACAATTGGCAATTAACTAAAACTTCTTTGAGCTTAGAGTTTTAAAGCAGCACACATATCAATCACTGATGAATCGTTGTTTCTCAGTCAATTGGCTCTAGACATCGATGTTGCAGGGTATGTGAGATTTAAAGTGTGTTGATATGTTTTGGGTTTCACAGCTTGCAGAATCAGACCAGGAGTTGTACAAAGACTTCCCACTGACTATCTCCGAGAGATGGCAAGAGGAAATAGCAGAGACCGTCTTTGAAGCTGTCAATGGGGATGCAGACAAACAAGAAGCCAAGAAACGAGCCAAGAAGATGGATGAAGGAGGTTAGAGACTTATTGTGACTGGAAATGAGAAATGTAGGCCAAAATGGTGTTGATTGAAAAAGGCAGAGTTACATGTAGATAACAGTGATTATCCATGAGCAATTGATAAATATATGCACATGTATAGATAGAATAGAAATCACCATGTGTACCAGTTAATTGGTGGTTCAAGACTTCATGTGTCAGGATTGATTTTAAGCAATTTTGAAAAACTGAAGGTGTTTTCATTGTAACATCTGGTCTGATGACATCATCAGTTTCAAACTTCTCACATACTGTATGTTCTTTGAGGAAAGGTTATCATATCTACCAATTTTCAAGCAATTACAGTGAACTTCACCACAGACATATGTTGACAATTCAGTTTTGACATTTTTTTCAACCTGCCACTCGAGGGCACTTGAGAATTTTATGATGTCATCACTCAAAGTTTTAGTGATTGCTATGTTACCAGAGACTGACATTGAAAGCAAGTTCATATCTGTTACCAATTTTAAATAATAAGGCACTTCCGGTTTCGACCAGAAGTACCGGAAAGGCTCACTTGATTTTACGTACATGAGACATCCAGAAGACCTAAATGAACTCTACCACTTGCCAGGACGAGCCAGTTGCGGGAAGTCACTGTTCATTTTCTGTGGATTTTTAAAGTTTAATCACTTGTAATTCAGCAGCCGATGACATCATGATGATATTGTGATTCAGCATATGGCAGTTTATCTGCCAGGTTTGAAATGAATCAGCTCCATGAAAAGGCCCAAAGTCATGTGTAAAACGGGCCTCTGCTACGTTAATGGGCAAAAAGTGGGAAAAAAGAGGGGAAAAAACAAAGAAGAGGGGAAAGAAGCCTTAAGGAAAACAAGAACTGTTTCACTGGTTGCCTGAAACACCTAATGGGGGAGTGAGTTTCAAATCTGTTTGTTCATTTTAGGGTTTTTTTTGGGGGGTGTGCTTTTTAAGGGGGAATGGTTTTGTTTGTTTTTTGTTTGTGTTTTCACAAGTTACAGTAAGTGTGCTGATTGTGAGTGGATCCATAGGGCTTGAATGGTGCACAATGCACAAGACTGTAAGACTTGTTTGTTACAGCAGAAGATTTTCAGAATCTTGACCTTAAGTAGCGACCAAGTCAGGTAGAGCACCACCGCTTTGATATTGGTTTAGCAGTATTAATCTTATGTCAACTACAGCATTCAAAAATGGTGATTGGTCTGGTTTGTCACTCATAGGTTTCAAATTGAGACAGTGGACAGGTAGCCGTAGGTCCAGTCATGTTACACTCAGTCAAGACATGTTCATGTGTCTAGACTAGACATGGGCAGAGGTCAAAGTTGGCAATGCCCCATCATTTATGTTGGCTGCAAAGTGGTCAGCACTAGACCAGAGCCTATTCAGCTGCACCCAAGCCTTCTGTAGAGGTTGCTGCCAGGAGGATGTGCTGACCAAGCCTCATTGTATGGCTGGCATGTTGGTACTCATCCAAGAAACCCACCAGATGTTCTAACATCAGGATATTTGTTTCGTCTTAAAGTTAGAGCAAGGTTTCCTCTACTAATTGCTTTGTGTACAAAAATTGGCAATTTTTCTTTCCATACAGAGTATGCCATGGGCAAGGATTGCATCATGCATGGCCATATTCTCAAGCTGGGTGGTCCTTTCCTGAATTCTTGGCAGAAACGTTACTTCTACTTGTTCCCCAACCGACTGGAGTGGCAAGGAGATGGTGAAAAGGGAGTCAGTTCGGTGAGCATATTTGTTAAAGTCTATGTGCATGGAATATTCATTTTGTGTTTCTGTTTTGCTGAATTGATGAACACTTTCAGTTAGACACTGTGTATGAGATTCTGCAGGGTGTGTCACGATGAACTAAGTTGATTACTGTACATAAGGTCTGTGAAGAAGTTACTGAATGTTTGTGTTTAGCTGCTGTACCAAGGAATAGTGCTTTGCAGAGCAGCTCCTTTTAAGGTAACACAACTTGCCCTTAAAATCCAAGCCCGATTTTGCTAGGATGCATCCTCAATCCTCCAAAATTCTCCACCTGCCTCCCAAACCATGATCTCTTGAATGTATTTCTTAAAGGGGGACAACTGCCTCGGTCCTTCAAATCCTCTGGCATTTCTCGTCAGTAGACTGAGGTAGTGCAAAGGATAACCCTGAGCAGTTCAAAGTGTAATGTAGGCTTAAACTTATGGGTGGCTGAGCAATAACATTGAAAGAAAAGACAACGGGATTTTTAAAACTGCTTTTAATATTTTTTTCTAATTTGCCAATGAAAATTTTTCGGGTCGTGCCGAAAAATTAGGGCCGGTCGGGAAACCGGAACTGGAAATACAATAGGATTATAATTTTTCATTTTGAAAAGTTGGCATCTCTGCATATGGCCTCAGTCCTTCAAAATTCCCCCAAAACCACTCCAGATTTGAAGGATGGAGGAAAGTTAATCCACTGCCAGGTAGGGCTTTGAATTTGGTTTTGACATCACCAAGTTCAAACCTTCTCAAAAGCCATCCCAGCACTGAACCATCAAAGCAGCAAGGACCCCAAAAATGATTAGACTGCTGCTTGGTACAGGAAATGCCAACATAAATGACTGTACTCAAACACCCTCTGACCTGTGTCAAAGGGGGAGGGCCTTAACTGACACCTGAAGGCCATTCCTTTTCTGTGGCATGGACTGCCTGTTTCCTTGAGACATGAGACACGAGCTTCTGTATCACAGCACAAGACAGTTGTTAGAAGATGTTTATTTCCAACATTTGTAAAATATAATCAGCTGATATACTTTGTGGAGTATTTTAATGTACTTTTGTGGATCATGTTGAGATTTTAATGTAAAATGCTGTATTGAGATTTAATTATTTATGTCTGGCACAATGCCAAGTAGTGATTTATTGGTGGTATGGGAACTGAGACCTTACTGAAGTAAAATATGGATACCATGGTGCCTGTAAAAGAAATCTTACTCCAAAATTAAAAGAAAAGGAAAACAATGAAAATGACTAGTGCATTCCAATGATAACCGTTTGACATAAACATTAAATCTGTTTTAGCATTCTTTGTAGCATTGTGTTTAAGATTTTGCCACAAAAACATTTGACAACATTTGTTTTTCTATGTCTGAAAAGTGAGCCTTTTGTAAATTGATGATGTGTACCCAGTGCCATGATGAGGAACCGATTGCTGACATCAGTGGTGTGATACTCACATACCTAGGTAAAGGCCTTCCATGGCCGTAATGCCAAGACCCTGTAAGATTGTGTGCTGCATGTGTGCCAACCATGCAGTCTGTGTGGAACTAAGAACAAAACAGGTCCACATATTGTGGGTTATGGGAACCTTGTCTGAACTAAGTCAGGTCCACACAAGGTTTTCCCTTTCTAGAAAACCGGCTTGAAGGCATGTTAGGGTCAGGGTTATCCGTGGCAAAAGGAAGAGGGACTTTTAATAAGGAAGCCACAGTCTAAAGTAGTTGTCACAGTTCAAAAAAATAAGTCATTACTTAACTATGTGAGAAGAAATGTCCACACTAGGTATGTGATGTAAATATGGGTGTGTGCATATGGTGTGTTGAACCTTGGATGATGGACACAGAAGGAGTTACAACTCTGGCACTTCAAAGTGCTTGATGATCGTTGCTGCCAAGTCAGATGAATAATAGAAAACATTCCAAAAATGTCCAAATACTGCGCGTAGCTTATCTGGACAAGTGGGGTCAATAATATCCTACCGATATTTTGTAGTGTTTTGCTTGCAATTAACAACAGCTTATTGCTGTGACCAGAAAATAGAGAAAGAAAAATTCCTACATTTGACCTGCTTTTGCCATCGTGAATAAACTTCGGGTTTTTTTTGATACCCTGTGCCATTATCCATGCAGTGTTTGTAATTTGATATTTGGCCCTCCAGAACATCAGTTTTCAAAGATTTGGTGTAAATTTGGGTAAGACTGGCCAATGGCATGTCGACCACCACTGGAAAGCTAATGCCATGATGAACGAAATGCACTATTTCATCACAAGGAGTGATCATGAGATCTCATACAATATACTTTTGTATAAATGCCGTCATAAATATGTTTCAATTAAAACTCAAAATCTTATATACAACTTTACTATTTATTCCCAAAATAAATCCTGAAGAAAGCATTGAAGAGGGGCAATAACTTCACATGAACATTTAGGTCACATGACCCAGAGATGCCACTTTTCCGATTTTAATCAGAAATCCGACTTTTTGGTATTTTTCCCCCAAATCCGATTTCCCCCTTCAATGTTTTTTACATTGACAGAATTAAATAAAGAAAAGACTGGAAGCAAATCGATGATGCGCATTTTTCCTGCGCCGCGCGACTGGGTACTTAATCTTGAGTGCAGTCGTCAGTATAGAGTGCTTACGTCAGTCATATTGTGGCGCGAAATATGAAGGACAGCGTTGAGTGGTGTCGTTAGTGACTGGAAATACGTTGAAATATTGACCTTTAACGCGTACTAGCTCAATGCATGCTCATGCCTCATGTGCGATGCATGAATGTACACAACGAACGTACATGACACTGTACGTTGGATGATCAACACGTGGATCGACTTCATGTTCGAGGGCCGACAAAATGTAGCATCTAATTGTCAACAGAAACGAGGATCTTCATGATATTGAAAGAGATGTCAAGGACAAATTTAAGTGGAGATGGCTCGAAGAAAAGGATAACAATCAGAGCGTGAAATTACAGTCAGACATCCGACATTTTCCAACTCCGAGCACTTATTGTGTTTGTCTGAACAAAATAAAAAATGCTCGGACAAATTGTCCGACCAACATATCAATAACAGCTTTTAAAATATCAACACAATATTTGGGATTATGGCATCCAATTTATTATTAGTTTTGTGTTAGAATTATGCCCAAGACATCAATCAGGGCTGATCACTCATCGCTGGCCCATGTCACCTAGAGCCACGCACGGACATGAACTCGCCCTTACAATTCTTTGCGCGCTGTCACAGTGGTGAAAACACATGCGCGAAACTCTATGCATTAAACGAAGCTACTCTGGTTCCCGCAGTGCTGCACCATGCAAAAGAATGCGTCATGCAAATGTAGCTATCAGTACCAGTCTGTACTGTACGTGTACTGAATGTACTGTACATAACCACTCTTCATCAGCCGTACGTGTCAGGCCGGAAAGACATCCATTGCTATGTTGCAAGAAGTTTTCTGCAAATTAATTCACAGAACTTGGTCTCTTATTTATGTATGTATTTTCTGTGTTCAAGAGAAATTTGAGGTTCTGCTCATTTTAGCACCCGCTGGTCTAGATGCGTCACGCATGCTTATCACGCGATACATGGACATTGTTGGTCAGTTTGCCATTCATAATTTTCTTGTGAATTACCATATGCTGAAATTTTTACAATGATTGAGACAGGTGTTCATCACTTTTTGAGATAATTTTGGAGGCTGTCGCCCCCACTGATGCCATTCAACCAGCACAAAATTGCCGCCAAACAAAAAAAGTTCTGATCTACCGATCCAATTTTTGAGAGGCATGCACAGCACAACAACATCACATGTATTTTTTTGGCCTAATAAAAGACTGCATGATCTATGCAGTAGGCCTTAGTTAAATAAATCTTTGGCAATTGTTTATCCAATTTGATCAAGCAAATTTATGACATGGCCTGCCCTGATCGGGCAAACTAAAAAAAGTATGTATTCCGTTTGAGTAAAAAACAGCCGGCTGGCCTACATGTAGGCTGCGACTCATTATCTGTGATCGACCAGCGATGATCAAGAAAGAACTTTTTGGTTTTTATAGGTGACTACACGATGAAGATGCACATTGTGTACATGTACATGCACTAATGCATTAATGCATGCACCCATGCATTAATACGTATAAAACCGACACTGTGCGAAGCACTGTGGATATGTTGATTTTCAGATTTTTTTGGCATAGGCTAGTGGCATCTCTGATGACCTAACGTAAGCAATTGCACAAGCATTAAATTTGATGTTGTTGTGAAATCATACCAAGCACCAACGAAGACAGGAATATAAGTTTCCTGTACTTCAGTACAAAAAGCTTTAAGGATGCGGATTACCAGCAAAAAATTACGGCGGTGAGCATAGGGTAAAAAGGGGTGTTACCGGTATGGTTGTGAAACAGATGGTGCGTTGCAAGCATTGCGCTTTGGGTATGGACATACCAGGCATGCCAGGAAGCGGTAATTGGTCATATGTTATAGCTTGGGCAGCCCAAACTCCCTCTGTGTCCTTCATCCATAGTTGAACCCAGGATGTCTGTAGTTACCAAGGTAATATGAAGCACACACTTTTTCATTTGTGAAGTCCTTTCATTAAGTTCTAGCATAAGTTCTAGCATGGTAAATGAGCGAAAAAGTTGTCTTACTAAATTTTGGGAGGTAGAATTATTTACATTGTAGTTTTGTCCATTTAGCTGTATGAAGACCATGGTGACTCAGTTTTCTGAGTATCTTTAGTACACTTCAAAGAAATTTGACTGGACTTACTTTACATAAAGCTATCATTTATTTTAAAAACCATGATTCCCTCTTTAACAGAGTTTCAAAAAAGGTTGATCCTATCTTCAGTGTAGAAACATTGGTTACAGTGCATGGGCTTCTGTGTCTGATTCTTAATTGATTTCCTTTCACAGCAAAATGTTCTGGTGATGGAGCATGTATTGAGTATTGAGGAAACGATGGTCAAAGGCTTCAAATGCATACAGTTGAAACTAAAGGCTGGCAAGAACTGTATACTAAGGACAGAGGTAAGATGGGTGCTAATGAATAACTCGCACTGTGAGACAGTCAGGATTTTTGTTGAAAGCATTTATTTCGCAATGATCTGCCCCTGCAGTCCGCAGGTTAGTTTTGGCTGACAAACACCATTTCTGAAAAATACAAGATACATGTATATCAACCATCTTTCGAAATTGGGTCATTAACCTCATAAATACAGAGTTGAAAGAATTAGTTGTACCATATCTGTACACTGCTTGTGGCTGTAACTACATGTACATCTTCAAAGTTCTAGTATTCAGGGATGCTTGCTATAGCAGCCTGTGAGGTACAGCACAAATAAATGGGATTTTTGATGGTTAAACCTGTCACCTGTCCCTGTGAGTATGCACTGACCCTTGGTATGACATGCCCTCTGTAGAACTGTCACTAAAAGTTATTGAGGGCAAACCCATCCTACATTGTGAGCTTAGTTGAAAGTACTTGTTGTCAATTAAGTCTGGAAGTACACACACAAGTTACTGAGGGATGTGCAGTGGCAGTGTTGTACGGAGAGGAGAAAAATGGAAGAAACACTGGCTCCTTGAAAAAAAACCTGGGGGCTAGGTCGATTTGGGAAATACTTTTATCATAGTTGTAGCGTAAGTCAAATCACTGGTTAGGTTTTGCATTGCTTTGGCCATGTGCTTAAACTAAGTCTTGACATTTCTCTGTCATTTATTCGTAGGACAGTCATGCTTTGAATTTTGTGTTTGTGGAATAAATTAAAAATGGCAACCATTTATATGAAGATAAAGCTGAAAGAAGACAAGGCATTTTTGTTCTTTTACTTTTGAGTATTTGTTACCTGGGACCAGACCAGACTAAGGAAAGCTTGAAGTTTTTTTGATTTCAAAATTACATTTTAGACTGAAACATGTTTATTGCACTGGAATCCTTGCATGCATAGACTGCTTGTGCATCTAATGAATGTACACATGAAATGCCTCCCCATACCCACTCTATACAGCGTATGGCCACAAACTAGTCCATTTTGGTACCTTGTCCCTTTACATGTGTGTATGTACCTGAAAAGAAAATCCCAAATTCAATTAAACCTTTGGTCACATATGATCATTTTGGCACAGATGGGACTGTTATGGTCACACCATACAGTTCTGTGCAAAGGAAATCACTGCATGCAGAATGTTCAGAATTGGGATTTGAGTTGCATGGAGCCATGTTTAACACATTAGCTTTATTTCTTCAATGAATGTACGTGGATTAGTTTCAACTTTGGCCAGATAATGAATAGTTTGTTTTTTGTCCTGTTTGTTTTGTTTGGCAGAGTGATCCTGAGTACATTCAGTGGAAGAAGGAGATAGCACTTGCATTTGACACAGCTCAGCAGATGTTGCGTCATGGTCCCAAGATGCTAGCTACACAAGGTTCGTCCTCTGATATCATGAGACACCAACCACTGGGCCAACGCAATAGTAATGGTGCCCACTAACACTAACTTTACCATCGCCAAACAAAAAAAAAACCAGTTCTATAAGTGTTGTCATGCAATTAACTGCGAGCTAAAGCTGTGGTTCTTAATGAGAACCAAGATAATGAAATACTCGTCTTAACTGCTTTTCACTGCTGTATACTAACGTTACTGACCTACTAACAAAGATGGACTTTTTACTGACGTGAACTGAGATCATGACAGTGTAACATCTTTGACTTAGTTTAACAGTATTCTTGTTAATACATGCACACATCTTTATTTTAGTGAATGTCATTATACAATGGCAGTGTCAATGACTCTAGTTGGACATACATTGAACAGCCATGTATGAACTGTCTTGTGCCATTGGCTTACCCCATTCACATTTATTAAATTATGTAGGGATGTCAAATATTTCTTTTGAAAATCTTCTAATTATTTCCAAGGTTTCCAAACTCTTTTAGAGTCATTGGCTTCATTTGTCGACGGACAAATGATGTACCTGTCTCCTTACCTTCATTAATAGATCTGCACAGTTATCATCATACTCTATGTTCATTACTGACCTTTGTCTCAAACTGTTGTGGATCAAGACATACTGTTTAAGATTGTGCTCAGGGCAGTAAGCTCCAATGTGAGGCACATTCAAAGTGCGTAGGAGTTTGCGTTAGGTCTTTCATGTCTGTTTGCAAGGGTACAGTGGCCAGCTATTGTAAAATGAGACTCCAGACAGAGTTGTTGCTTTGTTATTGAAATATCAAAGGAGAAATCTGTTTTAAAACCAAATTACATTTTCCTAAGAAGAGAGTGCCAATACAGGGACTTTTATTCATTGAAGGAATGAATAAATGTCATGATTTAATTAGATTTCATTTTATTTGATTTCAGTCATTTCATCGGTAGTGCACCACGTGTGCATGATCAGGCTGGATTTTAAGGTTAAACATCTTTCTAACATGAATCATGTCTGCTGATTGAATATCGTTATCCATCTCCCTGCAAAAATGATATTTTTCCAAGCGCTGAATATTTGTTTTAGAGTCTGTCCATGAAATCATAAATCGCATCTTCTCCTTTACTGTCGTATACTGACTTGCCACACAACAAAAGCAATTTACATTTATTTGGAGCAACCTCATGTGATGCCTTGTGAGTTTTTTCCTATGGACTGAATTTCGCACTGAAAAATGTTTCAAAAGTTGCAGTATTCCTTAACAATTTTGCCAGTTCTCACGTTTTCATCCTCCAGTAATAGGAAAGTGAACAGATTTTTAACGTTGAAGCAATTCTGATCAGCAGCTTTCAATTTCGTTTACACAGTTGAGCACCAAAACTCAGAGCACTGTTTAAAAAACGTCCTGCTTATAAGGAAAGTGTTGTGATCCAATTCTTAATGCTCTTTGTTCGTTAGTACTGTACGTACAATATAAGGTATCTGTTAATTAGAAGATAATTTGTTAAGGCCCAATTGTCTTCTTGTAAAGGTGTTCAACTGTAATCAGATTTTGCAGTGTTTGCCTATTTTACAAACAATAGGCAATTTATCATCAGGTCTTGTATGCATGAAGCAAGTGGGAGTATGGATAGTAGGCAAGGAAATGCATCATTTGGGGGCACTGCTAAGTGGTTAGTGTGCTACATCAACCTATTTTGGTGAGCATCCCAAATGGCCTTCATTTTATAACCTCGTCTATCTGCCATTCAGATATGCACTGTTCATTTTCAACATGGAAGAGATACTAATAAACAATGATACACATTGTGTGTAGGTGAAGAAACTGGTGAGTTCCATGGAACATTGTTATAATAAGGAATTGTGCATGGAAATTTGGTGACTTTGCCAAGATTGACTGACAATTTAAATGAATAGATCATAGATGTTATTGATATATACTGTTGTAGGTTATAATAACATTCCCTAAAAATGCACAAAATGTATTTTAAAATTAAATAAAATAGATCTAGTTAGACAACAGTATGTGCTGGGTATATTGAACATTACTACTGCACATGTATTGTCATATTGATTAATTTGAACAATTTTCAATCAATATTATTTCAATTCAGATTTATGGTACTTTTTTGCAGTCTAAATAAACTTCTGGTGCAAAACTGTGTGGACTAATGTAGGCATGGTGCTGCTGCTATCACTAGCTGGCTTCTCCATTGGCTGGGCCAATGCTGAAGAAGTCAAGTAGGAATCTACCATTTAGTCAAACCACTTACAGTGTAGATTGGTTTTTTTTTTCTGTTCAGAATTTGTGTGCAGATGCAATGATACAGCTTTCTGTCATTCACTTTTAAATTTAGGGATAATAATAAAGTAGCTTTGGAAAGTTATAGGGTTTCAACAATCTCCATGTTGGAGAACTGTTGAATTTCCTGCATATACTTGACTAGTACAAATCAACTGTATGATATACTTCATTGGTAGTGCATGTAGAAAGTCTGGGTGTATGTATGGTAGTTAAGAAACTGATGTGCAATGTATGTACAAAGTAAATGAAGATTTTGACAATTTTTATCTGTTGAGCCAATGTAATGGGATAAATTGATGTCAGATGTAGATAAAGACAGTGTTGCAGATCTGCAGCTCCTGTTGATTATCAGATATACCGTTAATAGTTGTTGTGATTCATTATTCTTAGGACTTAAGCCACAATTTTTGTCCTCTTTATATTTATATAGTGAAGTCCTTTTTTTTATCCAAGTGTGCTTTAACTCCTTAAGGGTGTACATGTACAGAAAGCATGTGTCACACCTCCTTAGACAGTCGTATACTAGACAGTCGTAAAGCACTTCATGATGTAGTTGATTATTACAACTTCAGACTTTGATTGTCAATTGTCATTCACTGACCTGAAGGCAACTGTACTGGGCACCACTTTTACTCTTGATATAGCAAGGTTGGTCGGAAATGGCTGCACAGTGGGTAGAATTGTGCAAACCTAGTCGGGATGTGAACCAGCAAGTGGGTCCTTTCTTGGCAGTTATCCTAACACTAGAATCTTGCACTCAGTGGATGTCACCGCACTTTATAAACATGTTACACAAGTATGGATAATATTGAACTTAGAAAAGAATATAGCCATGGTATTATTAATTTATAGGCCAAGTCAGCACCATATATTATATTAGTGCATTTGACTGACAATGTTACACTTCTTGAATTCATCCATATAGCATGATGCTCTTTCTGATCACAGAAAGCTATGATTCAGTATGAATACATTACGTTTGGAATTTCTTTCAAATGTTTAATATATCCAATGGTGGTACATATTGCCAAAAGTAAAATTAGTGAGCCTAGGATTGTGTTTATTCACATTTTCCTCCAGAAAAGTTGCAATTTAACTACTGAATTTAGAATGAAGAATAAAATTCACTGCCTTTGTTGTGACAGCCACTGTATGACTGTAAAGACAGCTACAGGTGAGAATCCTTAAGCCAGACAGCAATCTTCCCGTAAAAGTATAAGGTTGAGTGGAATTATCCTTAACTACATGTAGATAAAGGTCCAACCCAACCCTGCACAAATAGGAAGTTTTCACAGGAACCTGCTTTCAGACAGGAATGCATTGTAGTAACCTGCGTGGATGCTGTTGTCTTCAAATTTCTTGTTCAAGAACATGCAATGAGTTAATTCTGCAAAATTTCAAATCTGGGGATAGTTTGACTTCATATGTATATAGCATAAGTAGAAGCAATTGGAAAGGTTGACTTTTGAAATTTTTGCTTCAATAGATAAATGATTAGGTATATCATTAAATATATTTTACTTGATGTGCGTTTCATTTCCATTTTTATAGAAGGACGTGTTGAAAATTCTAATTACTCTTGTGATTTACATTAGATTATATGGACAGGGAGTTGGGTCCATGTTTCTGTATCTGTTATACAAACTAGGTGAGTCATTGTTAGGGGTTTATAGGTAATCTTTGGCAGTGTTGTTTCTTGTGAACATTTTTTACCGAGGCATTTAGGTTGATTTTATTGATCGTTTTCTAGGCTTAGTGAAAGTTATCTGCTATTATGGGAAACCAGTTAAGGGTGATGACTGTATATCCAACTTTTAGTGTTCACAAGATGTGACAGAGAACTTTGTGCAGTATAGAAGAGACAAGTAAGTTCAGTGAACACATTTTATCACCGCATGTGCTGTAAAAAAAAAAACTGAGTGCATCAGCCGACTCACTTGTATTATATCAGACGATTGACTTTGGGGGAATTTTTTTTTTAATTACACTGCAGAAGTATACCAAATGGCACTACCTACCACTCTTACTTCTTTAAGCTCTATTCATTGGTTCATATATGATGTTTGCAATGCGATTTTTGAATTTTTTTGTAATAAAGGTTGACAAGCAAGTAGATTCCGGATAGGTTGTTCTCTGGCTTCAGGGAGAGATCTCTAGTCTTACTTTAGTTGGTCTCAGTGATTTTATTATCGTCATTGTTGAGGTTGGTTTATTTGATAGTTTAGAGAGGAAAAAATGTATGCCTACTAAAAGACCGTATGATATGTGAATTAGTTGATTCAATCCATCAGTCTCCTCTGAATACATGACATGGATGCATCGTCTGCTTTTTCTGAACATGGTTATATGTCGCAAAAAAGTAGATTCTAGATACCCAGGTGAGGATGTACTCCCAAAGCATGTTGCCATTGTAGTAATATGTTTTTCTTACAGTCAGAAAAATTTAGAGAAGAATTTTCCATTCCAACTATATGTAACTTAAAGTCAAGTGATAGTTACATGTACATGTTCTGAATAAAAAATTGAAGTAACGTTCCTTCTATACATGAACTACAACTGAATGAGGTATAGAAATGAATGCAGAAATGTTTGTGATGTATGCCATCATGGCTCAGTCTAATCTAAAGAAATCATTAGGTAACATTTAAACTTTGCATCTGCTTTATTCAAACTGTCAGCCGCTGGTAGAAGGTTTAGGCAAGTATTGACAGTAACTTATTTGTAAATCAATCTGTCATGTACATGTAAGCTGGAATGTACCTTTGGAGTACAAGCACTAGTGCAAAACTGAATGATGAAACCTTCTAGTAACAAGGTCAGAACATTTAGCCTTTTTTAGACAGAGTTGGGGATTCATCCAAAATTTGTAATGATCCTATTTAAAAATTGCCAAAATAGCCATAAGGTAATACATTCATAAAAAGCATACATTGTTTCTGTTAGCTTTAAGCAAAATATTGTTTAAAAATGTTGAAATGTGTTTGATGTTAGACATTGAAATGCTGGATGCTTTTTGTCATTTGAGAGTATTTGGGAGAGGACTTGTTACATCCCTTGTTGACAAACATGGAATAAATTGATGTAGTGACATGATGACGAGCATTTGTCATTGCTTGTGTACAGTGGAACAAGGCAATGAAGTCACTCAGTGGCAATTAGGCGAAGACATTGTTCATGTTATGATCATACCTGACAGATAATGATATCAATTCTTCCAGTATTGACTTGATGTTCTAGGTGTGCTTGATGGACCGTCTCTTGGGTGAAGGGATTTCTATTTTGCCAATATCAACTTAACTAGCACTGTTACCATACTGCTGGTTTTTTGGTTCTTTTATGCAATGAAACGCAACTACATTTATACTTTCTTTGTATCAATGATTTGACAAGTACTTTATTGAAATATTGATACCACATTATACTACCATTAATGCATAATTATGCAGCTTCTCATCCACAGTTCCCCCTTCCCTTTTGGGGTAATTATTGACAGATGTGTGAACTTAATATATGTGTACTCCAAGCACACGGGCTTTGAAGATGACTGTAGGGGATCCTGTGTAGCTCTAAAGACATCTGCCTTGGTCATGTTTATAGAGCTTCATGTAACCTAACATTTGCTCACAGGGAAGGAAGTTGTTCTGGGGTGAATACATTGTTTTCTTGAGGTCATTTGCTTCAGAACATGTCAGAGAGGAAGTGTCAAAATAGATTACATTGAACCGTGGTGAAGTCTGGGTCCCTATCTGACAGCCATTGTGTTAACATAACTGAAAAGAAAGAAGAGGTTAATACTTGTTAAACTTGTGCTTTTTAATTATATGAAGGATTGATCAGTTCTGGCCAATATCAAGTGCTCTCTGCTATGAAATCCACTGTCTTTTCCTACAGAGTACATGAAGATACCCTTTTATGGAGGTATCACTCAGTGTCAAGATTTTGAGTGTACTATCAATTTTAGGGCAGTTTTCAAATAATGTATTGTCATATGTTCCTTACTCTCAATGCCTCAGTTAGCTTGCAAAACTGCTAAAATATCTAGAACTAGAGTTTTACAGCTTTTTTACGTACACACTTTTGATGTGCTATTTGTGGTAAAAGGTTTATCATACAACTTGTTGTATGATCTTTTGTTAATTTGTGACTAAGCTTGAATTTATTTTTTAAAAAAGGCATTTTGGTTTTAGGGGCACTGTTTTGATTTTAATTTGAGTGTAAAACGTGACATGGTGCCGATGAAAAAAAAAGAGTTACATAAAATTTAGATATATTAAAGAAATGTATGGATAGCTGTCCACACTGACCACCGTAAAACATCACTAACATAAATAGAAGTATCTGTCCAGGAGGTACAGCAGAGACATGTGAAGTAGTGACACTTAATAATGATGAACGTAGTTGTTGACTTGCAGGAGTTTGACCTCGGAGATCATATGCAAACCTGTCCAAATCTGCTCACAATGAATCCAAAGTCATCAAAGCACTTCTCTGTACATGCCATAGTGGCAGAGAGAGGTCTATCATCAGGAAAATGTCTGCGTGTTATCAAGTGTTATGTGCAACACGACAGAGACTAGGTTTTGCATTCGTCTGCTCATTGGTTTATTTAGTTGTCCTGAAGGCATTTCTACAAAAAAAAAAAACCCAAGCCCAGTAACCATTTGACTTTGTAAAATTAAGTAGTTGCTTTTCAAATAATACTATTTTATAATTTGTGTTTACTTTGTATCATTTTATTGTGTTTGGAAGACTTTTCATACAATAAGTTTGTGAACGACCCATTTGTGTTAATATTAGAATAGAATGGCTAGTGAATTGATCATTAAGACCAGTGTGTGGTACCTGAAATGTAGCTGTCACTCTAGTATGGCGGGGGGGTAGTTGTCAGATATTTCCTAACCTTGGTGTGCTTTTGTTACTATTGTTTTAATTGTGACATAGAACATCATAAGTCTGTATTAACTGTTTATATATTGCAGTTATCAACGATGCTGTATTGTTTACCAGCTTTGCTTTTTGTGTAATCTATTAAACTCGACACTGGTTAGGGATATTCCATGACACGTTAGGCTGGTGCTGTTGCGTGGAAGTTGTCTGAGAGTTGATTGGCTGCCTCCTCTGGTTATTCTCTCTGTCTTACCTTCATTTTTTTTAAACACAACATTTAAGACAGATCATACATACTTTCCACCATGGTTTGATCGTAAAGAATGTCATCAGTCTCTGGTCAACACATACAGTGTTACACCCTTTACAGTGTGCATAGATTTCTGTTTTGCTCTTTAATTTTTGCAACAAAATAACTTTTACATTCCTGAGTTTTTGTATTAAAACATTTGAAACCTTTATCACTTTGCACAAGAATGCATAATCTTCCAAACATAACAAACCATGCCATGCTAAGATATAGGGAACAAGATGTCACTGAAATCTGTATCATAGAATTTCGGTACTGTTACTTTTCTATTTTGAACAAGGCTTCTGGCCTGGATTTTTTTATCTTAAAATCAGTCTTAAGTATCAGTTGAAGTGGGTGACTAATGCCAAGAAAAATGCCTTATTTCTTTTAAAGTTGTGATCATAATCCAGAGTTTTTGCCTTGTGGCAAATCTTCATTTTGCACACTCACCTTGAAGTTTTACTTTACATGAAGGAACTCTTATCAACATAAAAGTCAGCAAGAGCTGGGAGTCTGTTGGGAGTAATTAATAAGACTAATCAACGGTGTTGCATTCAAGTCCATTACAAGTCAGTTACAAGTCTTCCAGTGCCAGTCAAGGCACAGGCTTTTCATAGGAACCATAACAAATGCATTGCTGTAGTGTTGTTCCTCTCCTTGTATATGTGAATAGTCTTGTGGTTGGATTCGATTGTAACCAGACTTGTGATGGGCTTAACTTTAATGCTGAAGGTGTGCACAATTAAATGCCTTCCGTGGAAAGAGAGCCTTTACTTCTGTTTTGGCTTCGACGGCAAATGTAATGGCAAATACTTGTTTCAGTTTACTTTTGTTACGTATAGACTTTCTTGCAAACAGAAGTTAAAACTGAACATACAAGCTTTTGTTCATGTTGAATCATGAAGTTCAGCTTTACAGTGACAATTTATTGTGCTCTTGGAACAAACCAAATACTCCAATTTCCATCCCTGACATTTGGCATGACACTAGTTTCCTCCGAGATCTCCACCAAGACGAGCATTGCATGAAGTGTTCAATGAGCAACACTGAGATGACCACCATAAAGATAGCCTGGCTTGCCTTTTTTTGCTGCTGTTGTCTTATCGTACCATTTATTTGATGATCCTTGGCTTTCTTCACAATAGTCAACAACAACGACCGATGAGAGAAATGTGAGAGATATTTCAGTGCCATTGAAAGCATGCAGCTAGCACTTATGTATGAAATGTGTTAAATGCTGAAGGATTGTGCACATCATGCTCTTTTAAGTGGTAACAGGGTACCATCTCTGGATTGGACCCAGCTTAATTCACCACTCATCTTTTTAAGTATTTTGATTTCTGTTCTCATAATTTGTGTGTATAGTTCGTACAGTTTTTTTTTTAGCTTTTTACAGACAACTTGGAATAATGAAAACCAGGGTACTGTAAGTAAATTTGAAAATCCAATGCACTTGTGCAGCTACTTGTCAGCTGTGTACCCTACAGGTTGTTTGCATGTCAGTGGTTAGTATTGTTATCTTTCTGCATGAATTTCACCCAGGGTTTTAGTTTGACTGTTCATGATGGTACATCATTGTCTAGTTACTCGGAGTACATTGCTCATTTTTGTGATGGACATTTTACTGTATGGTATGATGACTGACCTCTGCCCGAGTAGAGTCTTTGCAGGCTGAAAGTAAAGAAAGTCTGTGTGTTTTTCTGGGCTGAACAGTGGACAGTTTAGGAGCGTTTGACAGATATTTTATTGAACTTCATTTCCTCCCTTCTCCTCTCTGACTTCTTTTCACCCGGTCTTGATTCTCACATAATCCCTCTCACCGATGTAGTTGTAAATACCATGCATATGGATGTACTCCAGAAATGTCTGTCAGTCTTCATGTGTTCTGCTGATTCTGATACATTATTAAACAAAGAGTTATGATTTCATTTTTTCACTAAAACTTGTTACAAATAATATTCCTAATTGATATACAAGCAAAATTGTGCTTTTTGTAAAAAATCCCAGATATTTTCATGTTTGGATTATGCAGAACTCATTCTGTGTTGTAATTGATGCATGTCATGCCCACTTATCCATATTGTCAACAATGAAGATTATAAAGTGCTTATTGATTTCAATAAGTCAATCAAGGAAGTCAGGTTGGAACTGATAAATGGTCTCCTTTTGGTAACACACTGCCATTCTACATTCACACACTCTTGTGAACTGATCTGTGAATTATTATCATTTTATTAATTGTATTTGTGCATGAAGGGCGGATCCAGAGCCAAATTTTCAGGGGGCTTAACTTGTTTTTTTGTGGGGGGGGGACAAAATTTAGAAATTTGTCATGTAACCTTAAATGGCCTTTCTGGGATGAGACTGCTTTTATGCTTTTGGGAGGAAGGGAAATGAAACCCCCCCCCGAAATTCACTTTTTGTTATGCCCCTCCCCCAAAAAACCTGGAGGATCCCCCTGCCACATGGATCCACCATGTGGCATGCATGATTTTTGGTTTTGTTTTGGTACAAGTAACTTGTGTTGTTTTTGTGTTGTTTTATTTGGCACCATTTTCTGAAAATGTTCAGTTTGGCAGAGTCTGTCCTGTGTTCAACATGAATGCATTACCCCAAGAAATGACAAAAATGCGCTCTACCAGTGTGTCTTGGGTGTTGAAACATTAGACACTGAGTGTGTCCTGATATGACATTCCACTTTAAATCATTGTTATTTGCGGAACCAGCATCATTGTTCAGGGTTCCTGCAGCCTGGAAAAGTCATGGAAATTGGTTTTGTTCTCCAGACCTGGAAAAGTCATGGAATTATATAAAAATGACTAAAGTCATGGAAAGTCATGGAATTTTTCAACTGTCTATGATTTTTGTTTTCACAAATAAGTGCATAAAATGCGTGATTTTATTAGCAATTTTAAAAGTCTGAATAGTGAAAAAACAAATTGCATTATTGGGTCATGGATTTTCATAATTTGGTCATAGAAAAGACATGAAAAAGTTATGGATTTTGAATTGTCCTTCAGGTGCAGGAACCCTAATTGTCATTATCATTACGGTGGTATCATCTGTTGCAAGATAACCTTTGACCCTAACAGTCCTCAGTCCTCCAACAGGTGAAGGATTGAGGACTGTTAGGTTTATATTAAAAAGAGTTGTCTTAGGATTATGTTATGAATGAGCATATTGTGGTGAAATTTCTTGTTATGTGCCTCCGTTTGACAAGTGCATGGTGCGTATGGTTGATGTGGTGCATAAGGAAGCCATTAACCGCCATATCCTTTTTTCCCACTCATTTCTTTGCCACTCAATGCCATAGGTACATACAATGTCAACAGACGAAGTGCAGTACTACACGCCCAAGTTAGCTAGCATCCAGTGCATATCCTACCTGGCATATCCGTCAAGCTGGTCATCACAACTTAAATGGGATTGTTTGCTTTGCCACATCGTTAGCTTCTTCAACAAGCTTGGATGCTGTCAAGAACCTAGCACTGTCATCCCTTTTCATAGAGGTGTTCTATTAAAAAAATTCATTTGAAAGATAATGTTAGTTATGTTCCCACCTTGCATTTTCACTTAACCAATCACAGTATTAATGAAGCACATGTTTAGACATCATTGGCGAAAACTACAGATAACCAGATGGATCAAGTCAATGGATAATTTCCATAACTTTACAAAAGAATTGATGTTCATACAATGCCCGAATTAGTTGCTGTCATCTGATTAATGCACCATTGGTCATTATCATTGATGTATTTGCCTCAATACTCAGCATGAGCACACTGCTAAATCAGGTGTTTTATTCCACCTGTAAATAGATGTTCAATAGGCTCAGTCGCAATAAAATTCTCAGCTTGTGGGTGATTCGGGGTTTTTACTCAGGAGGGATTTATTCAGGTGATGATGGAACTGATTCAGGATTTATTCGCATTCATTCTTCACATTCAAATGATGGAAAGAATTATAGTTGACTCTCATTAGTAGAAACTCGGTTACTGCGAAATTCTGGTCATAAAAAACACACATTGTCAGTCCCAGCAAAAATAAGCACATTTCTATGGGGGGAAAATCTGTTACAGCAAAATTGCATAGTTTGAAATTCTATTTACAAGGAAAGATTTTTGTGGCTCCGTTGCATAAAAATCACTGTTGGAAACCCATTTATAACAGGCGTTTATAAATCATGGATCACCTAATCGCAAGTGGAGTTAGTCATCAATAGATTTCTCTTGTATTGTTTAATCTTGGCCCGATATGCAATCTTTTCTTGTGAAGGTGTTTATTGTTGGACCATTTGCATTCGCTAATCTGCTGTGGTTACCAACTACAACCAGTCATCAAATGCACTGCCCCGGTGACACATACCAGTGATCCGCGCCGCGTGTGCATCACCAAAGGGAAATCATATAAAAGAATCAATGATTTTTTTCACAAGGACCTTTGATGGCTTCAAACTCCTCTATACATGTGGCCATTAATCCCAAACCCTCAATAAATTACTGAATCCTCTGTCCCATTCACCCAAAATTACAAAAGAATCCCAAAAATGCAACCCTGTTCCACTCAAAAATTACAATGAAAATAAAGAGGGCTAAATTAAACTTCTCTTTGATAGTCTAAGAGAAAGTTAATTCACCCTGGCCCCGAGCTCCAAAAATGGTTTAAATAAATTAATCCCTATTAAGGAACCTGCAACAAACAGATTTCCCAAACAACTGGTAAGATAACTAGTGCCCCTGCCAATGAGCATTTGTGCTTGTATGATGTATGCTTTGCTAGACGTAACTATCCAATCAGGGAGTACAGTTATGACATCATACTCATATGAGATCAGTGAATCATACGTAAACAAAATTGTCACGGGGTTTCATGTAAGTTCAGACGTGCTG